TTGGTTAGAGACCTCTAGCCTCCAAGGGGAGGATTTGGGCAGGGCCTGAACTCATAAAAAGAGCACAACAAATGCTTTTGTCCCATAGCAAGGTCGTTGCCCAGGAAGTCAAGGTTGAAAATAAAAGAATCAGAAATGTAAGATTTTTGTAAATGAGCTGTGAGCCTGAGCCCTGTCTCTCTACCCGTCTCAGCTTATACCCACCTCATCTGCTCCTCCCTGTGGAGGCCTTCACTCTGCCTTCCACCTCCTGCCCTCTTCCTATTCATCTTCTAACCACCCACCCTTGATTTTCTATACTACTCAGAGGGTAAGAAAATTCTAGGAACCCTAAGGACCAACCCTCTCCACCTCCACTCACCACCTGGGGCCCAACTCTACAGTGACTGACTCCAGGGGTGAGCTCCAAGCGTCTTTACTCACTGCCAGGCCGGAAGTCTGGTGAGCCAGCTGGGCCCTGTAGCTGGGAAGGTTCCCATTTATGGAGTACTCCCAGGGCACGGATCCCAGGAGCAGATTGTTCCTGGTGGAACATGGGAGCTGTGACTCCTGCCCTCCACCCTACATCCCCACCAGGCACTTACAGTCTGTCCTAGGCAAGACAGATGAACTTTCAGCCAGGATGCCTCAAAGCAGGCAAAGATGAGTCGAGAGGAAAATCACAAACATTTGGGTGTGAGGATGCTGACATCGCCTTGGCCCTATCCAAGAGGTCTTCCTGGAAGAGGGCTCAAACTAGATTCTAAGGAATGCTGTCAGTCACTGGAATAGAGTTATGAATTCCAGGCAGGGTGAAAGTACACAGGATAAGCAAACTAAGCAGATATGAGGGCTAGGGCTAAAGGCTGGACCCTGGACCTCCTGAGAAAAGAGGCAGGAGCGCAAGCAGTGGCCAGAGTCAAAGAGCTGGAGAGGGTGATGGAGGGAATGATCTGTGAGAAATGTTGGAACCCAGCCTCTGGTAAGCAAGGTGACAGAAGCTGTCCCAGTGTTTGAAATGAAAATCTGGACAAAGGATACAGAAGGAGCCTAGGGGGGTAGGTGTGATGCCCCAGGAGCAGAGCTGAGGCGGTCCCTAAAAGAACCAGTCCCCAGGGAAACGGGCTCCCCCTCAGCCTGGCCCTTACCCTTCTGGCCTGGCCTGGCCTATCTTCACCAGCCTGGTGAAAGGGCCCTGTCCACATCCCCACACCAGCACTAACTGCATGATGTTTCCTCTCCCAGTGAGCAAGAGCCTAGGGAAGTGGCAGAGGGGATATGGTGCAGTCCTGGGACCCTGGCATCTGGGCTCGGGAGAGACCCAAGCTGCTTTCACTCCAGACCTTCTCCAGAGATTCTCCTCCTCGCTCACTGTTCTCCCTTTGGGCCTTCCCTCCAAATGCAGACAATCCCTGGGTCCCACCAGTGTCAGGCCAGTGAAAACAGTGAAGCAGGGAACGTTGATCTCCCTCCATGCCTCACCATCGCCAGTCTCTGCCCTGTCTTCTCCCGTAGCCACCTCAAAAACCTCCAGCCTGATATCCTCATTCCTTGTCCTGCTCCAGACCTTTTATCTCCTAGGAATATTTGTTTTATCTTTTTTTTTTTTTTTTTGGTGAGGAAGATCAGCCCTGAGCTAACATCCATGCCAATCCTCCTCTTTTTGCTGAGGAAGACCAGCCCTGAGCTAACATCTATTGCCAGTCCTCCTCCTTTTTCTCCCCAAAGCCCCAGTAGATAGGTGTATGTCATAGTTGCACATCCTTCTAGTTGCTGTATGTGGGACGCCACCTCAGCATGGCCGGACAAGCGGTGCGTCAGTGCGCACCCGGGATCCGAACCTGGGCCGCCAGTAGCGGAGCGCGCGCACTTAACCGCTAAGCCACGGGGCCGGCCCCTCCTAGGGATATTTGTAATTTGGAAGTGGACAAAGATTTAAGGTAAATGAATGCTCCTCATGGTGGAATGCTTCCGAATGCTAGAGGGAGCACTTGAGGGTACAGTTCACTAGGAAGGCCTGTGCATATAGATTCACGGGCCTGAAAGAAGTTTCTCTGGGTGCTGGGTGTGTGCTCTAGGAGGTGCAAGCAGTAATGCTACTTTGTCAGCCACAGAGAAGCCCCAGGTTGGCGGGGGGAGGGGATTGGCCTTGTGTAGGCAGTATGGAGAAACCAAGACAGAGAGTCCTACCCAGGAGAGGGTAGGGCATGGGGGAGCAGTCACCCAAGTTTATTTTCACCATGGCCCAAGGAAAAAGAAATGAGGCAACTTCAGATCCTATCAGGATAGACACCACTATCCAAAGTGCCCAGTCTCAGGGGTGTGGGACTCTCTTCAAGGCTCTTAGTGGGGAGGAGGGTGGTGGTCTCAGCATGAGATGGGGTCAGGCTAGGAATCTGAGATAACAGTAGATACCAGAATTCAGTCCTTAAGGAGCAGAATTTGGGCCTGAACCAAGCTCCAGGACCCAGTGGGAGGGGAGAGGGACCCCCAGCCACATAGCCTGAAGCTGTCAGAGCACCAAATAGTTGGGCAACCTGCTGAGTGTCAGATTCTTTATCATGTGTTAACCCTCATAACAAGACTGTGCCATGGGCAACATAACCCCAGTTCACAGGTTCACGGGCAGCTGCAGAGGAATTATGAGACTAGCCTAGTCTCTACTGAGAGAGAGATTTAAACCTGGATTGCTTCTGTTCCACATCTCATCCTTGTCCCAATATTCCACAGGAGCTCCTATTCCTGAGGAAGCCTGGACATGGGCAAGTGCACAGCCTCTTATGAAGGGGATGAGAAAGGTGGTGGTTTAAGGTGAAACTCAGCCTGTTCCTGTGGCCTAAGGCTGCACTGAGGGCAGGCAGAAGTCATGGTCAAGAATCCTTGCTGGGGGCCGGCCCCATGGCTTAGCCGTTAAGTGCGCACGCTCCACTACTGGCAGCCCGGGTTCGGATCCCAGGCGCGCACCAACGCACTGCTTCTCCAGCCACGCTGAGGCCGCGTCCCACATACAGCAACTAGAAGGATGTGCAACTATGACATACAACTATCTACTGGGGCTTTGGGGGAAAAAAAAAAAAGGAGGAGGATTAGCAATAGATGTTAGCTCAGAGCTGGTCTTCCTCAGCAAAAAGAGGAGGATTAGCATGGATGTTAGCTCAGGGCTGATCTTCCTCACAAAAAAAAAAAAAAAGAAGAATCTTTGCTGGGGTCTGAAGCCCCTGACTCACTCTTACCTGGTATCGTAGAAAGGAATCCAACCACCTAAGTGAGTTTTCTAGATACATAAAGCTCACCCCGTTACAATTTAAAACTTTTTTAAAAACTCATTTTGGAAGGAAATCCTTGTAAAACATTACACTCATCTTCAGCACATCTGTAATATAAATTTTTCTGGATAGCTGAGGATCATTCATGGAAACCAGTGGCATCTCTGCAGCAATGTTTTCGGAAGCTGTAACAGTGTCAGGGAAGCTGTTTGCCTTAACGTCAAATGACCTTAGATCACTTTTAAAATGCTTATGACTGCTTTAAAGGTGTTTTCTGGTGTTGCTACTCTTGCTCCCAGGCTATCAGGAGTCCCTTGCTGCTCTAAATGTGCTTCTAATCCATGAGTACAGGAACACACATGGACATTAATATGTGAATAAAGGACAAGTAGGCCACGATTGAGGCCTGGAGAGTCCAGCCAATGAGTAAAGTGCATGCATATTGTAGCTGCTCCCTCTAGACCCCACAATGTTGTCCTGTAGTTGACCTCCAGATAAGTGAAGTATCACTGCACCTCAGTCCCAAGTTTACTGTTTGCCTCTTCGATTGAAAAAGTCCACTGAAGATTGCAATATAGATTGTTCCCAACAATAGGAGACAGTTGGAATATTTAAGACAAGGAAGGCAGCATGGCATGGAAATGAAAAACAGTCTTTGGCACTGGAAAGATCTGGGTGGGAATCCTGGTGTCCGCTTTCCAACTGCGTGATTGATTTGGGAACAGGCCACCCACCTACCACTCTGAGCCTTAGGATCATGAGGATGAAAGGAGATAATGCAGGAAGATGCTTAGCACACCCCTGGCAAAAATGGGGTGAGGAGGGGCCAGAAAATCGGAATATGTGTTTGGATGCTTGTGGGTGTGTCACAAAGGAAAAAGTGGGAGCCTAAAGAGAAAGGGAACTGGGCAGAAAAGGAACAGTAAAGGAGATACGCCATCCTGGCTTCCCACAAAGATGTAGACTTTGTGTGTGTCACCTTGGGTAGCCCACAAGGCATGGCGGCTGCCCCAGAGAACACTGGGAGGGGAGGCCAGCACTCCCCACCCATCATTTGGGATTGGGAACTTCTAGACGGCTAGCTCTGTTCTCCCTTTTTTCCTGCCCTGATGAACACTAGGTTTGTGGGCCTGGCAGGGAGCGAGGGAGGGGAGGAAATCTCCACAATGGTTTGCTCCCACCTGAACCTAATGACAAAATGAAGCTGCCCAAACAAAGCAGCCATCTCTTCCTCAAAGCCCCCATCTGCCTAGAGGCCAGGCTGGGAAATGGGTACTTTTGGGGGTCTTAGCCCAGAAGTGGTGGTATGGGGAAGGAGAGGGTGGCAGGGAAGCTTGCTGGCAGGGTGGCTGTCCCCTGTCCTTGCATCTCTTTTGGTGCCTGCCTCGAGGCCCTCCATTTAGCCACTGAGCACCCACTCTGGGCTGGACATTGAGCGAGAGAGCTGGAATACAGAGCCGAAGGACACATGGTCCTGGCCCCCGGAGAAAGACTTCCCATCCCTGGGTCCTTGCCTCCTGCCATCCTCAGCTCCCTTACCCACTGACCCCTCGCCCCACTTCTCTGAACCCCTGTCTCTTCTGCCCCTCTGACTTTGTTCATGTGTTAACCCGACTCCGCAGTGTGTGTGCTCCCAGAGGGAAACGACACAAAGGAGGGGGGGGGCAGAAAGGAGGGAATCCCGCTGACATCACTGCTCATTAGCATGTGTGACCTCATCAGGGGGCGGGACGGTTTCCCCAGGTGTCTTGGGGGAGGGCATGGGGGAGTGGTATTTAAATGGAAAAGCTGACAGTGCTGCTGAGTGAGGGAGCGGGTGCTGCGAGCCGCCAGGCTGCACACGCACACGCACACCGATGCACACGGACTTCGACACCGAAATGGACACGGACACAGAAACCACAGCACTCTGCCCCTCCGGCAGCCACCAGGCCTCCCCCCCAGGGACGCCCACACCAGGTGAGGGCAGAGCTGGCCAGGTTCCAGCTGAAACCATGGGAGTGGGAGCTGAAGCTTTGGGGGAAGGTCAGAACTAGGGGTTGGAGGAGCTTGAACCTCAACAGCAAAAAGCAAAGAGCAATTCAGGAAGTGGGGAAGCTGCCTGCGGACACTAGGACTGGGGCTGGGCTGGGGCAAGGGGGTCCTGCCTAAACGCTCCCTCCCCCATCACTCCCAGGGCTTCGCTGGGGAAACTGGTGCTTAGCCCCTAGGTCAGCCTCATTCCCAAGAGGATGGGACGGGTAGGAAGGAAGGGGGAAAGGGAAGCGGCAGCCCACAAGCCGGGGAATCACGGGCAGGGGGCTACCCTGGGGACCTGTGGTAAGGGTTTCTCTGTCTCCTGGAGGCCCTGGCTGCTGGCCAAGTATTGATCCTGGGCTATTTCCAGCCTTTTTCCATCCCCCTTTGTTGTGTCTGTCATTCCTCCTCCAGTTCCCCTGACCCTTGCATTGTCACTCTCCCTCTCGCTCATGCTCCCACTCTCTCACTCTGTCTCTCTTTCTCTCTCTCCCTCCCTCCCTCGACCTCACCATGAACACAGTATTCTATCAGACTCCCAGGGACAGCCAGAGATGCAGAAGGATTCTCACACACAGCCATGCACTGGGGGATGCTCACCTATGGGGCCACAGGAAGAGGCAGCTCCTCTCACACACCCATGGAGACTCAACACACACATCTCAAAGAGCAAAGGTCCTTTCCTGGGAACCAGCTCCCCACCAAGTTTTTGACCTACCAGTACCCACCCCCCAGAACCTGGGCAGCAGCTTCAGCTTCTCATCCCCTGTGCCCCTCCCCAGTGTGGGGACTACCAGTGTTAAGAAGCAGTAGGGGGCAGGGCCTCTTGGTAGAAGGAGGGGCAGTCCTGGGGCCAGAGGCCTAGGGCTGGGGGTGTGCCTGCGTGCAGCGTGAAGTGTGAGTGGGTATGCGAGCCTGCACACGGATGCCTCCCTGGCATGGGGCTTGTTTTGAACAGGTTGTGGCTGGAACCACATTGGGTCAGCTCCTTGGATCCCCACCAGTTCAGGCTTCTGGGGGCGTTCAGTGCAGGAGGTCAGACCAAAGATTCTCAGCTCCTTCTGGGTCATGGTCATGGACTGGGCCTCTGCAGCCGGAGCAGCCAGGATTGAGCCCTCTGCAGACAGCTAGGCATACCCCACTCATAGCTGCCTTCTCTTTGCCCCCCCAGAAGCAGATGCCACACTGCTGAAGAAGCCAGAGAAACGGTTGGCAGGGTTGGACAGAGGCGGGCCACCCCGTGCCCCAGGGGCCCCCAGACGAAGAGGCAGCATGCCTGTCCCCTACAAGCACCAGCTGCGGCGGGCCCAGGCTGTGGATGAACTTGACTGGCCACCTCAAGCCTCATCCTCTGGTTCCTCTGACTCCTTGGGCTCAGGGGAGACAGTGCCCACCCAAAACGATGGCATCTTCAAGGTCATGCTGGTGGGGGAGAGCGGAGTGGGCAAGAGCACCCTAGCAGGCACTTTTGGTGGTCTCCAGGGAGACAGTGCTCATGAGCCGGAGAACCCAGGTATTTGGGGGAGCCCTGCAAGGGTTGAGAGTGCCTCTAGAGCCCTACTCAGGGATGGAAGCCGGCATCTAAGAGGAGCTGCTCCAATGCTTTCTGTGGCAACCTTCCTGGAGGGCAGTCCCTGGTGCTGGGATCTGAGGCATCCCTGCTCACTAGGTCTCACAAGTGTTGGGGAGCCTCTCAATGGGCTCTATTCCCTGTCTTTATTTCCCAATAGAGGACAGCTACGAGAGACGCATCATGGTGGATAAGGAGGAAGTGACTCTAGTTGTTTATGACATCTGGGAACAGGTGAGAACTAAGATGTGGCTGCAAGAGGTGATGAAACCCGGGAGAGCTGGGGAGGGGCAAAGTCTGGCTGAAGGCTGGTGGGACTGCAGGCCCTGGTTTCAGCATATGCTGGAACCTGACTTTTCGTATGTATCATCTCAGAGAGCAAAGGCCCACACCAGTGTGCATATCATGGCACGGAGAGCTGCTGTCTTTCCAGGATCTTCTGACCCTGAGGAAAGTTAGGACCTGAGTTTGACAAACCTCGCAGCTGCAAGCCAGGCTGAATATCCCGAAATTGACCTCATCCATACATTTTTCAGCCTAGAAGAGTCTGATCTGACAGGACAAGAGCTCAGGGCTCTGGAATATCAGGGAAGGAAAGACAAAGTGAGGATTTGGGAATATTTGGACATAAATGGTTACTATGTAGAAAAGAGGCCAGATTAACCTACATTTGAATAGCATTCATTTTTTAATTAAGAGCCTAAGCATAAGAAAGTACGATGGGCTACCCTAGTCTAGGATCCTTTGTCCCCAATTCAATTCTGCCATGTGGGGCTCACATTACAAACTTCTCCCTCCACAAACACACTCTGGGTATGGAGATTATGCATTAACTAGCTCTGCTGTCCCAAGCAGGTGGCTTCTCTCCCACATCCTGATTCCTCATCCTTGAGATGTAGGTGCTGGACAGGTTCTCCCATGCCCTGAGCCCTGACATTCCACTACTATCTGCCCATCTGCAGGGAGACACAGGGGGGTGGCTGCAGGACCACTGCCTTCAGACCGGGGATGCCTTTCTCATCGTCTTCTCAGTCACCGACCGACGAAGCTTCTCCAAAGTTCCAGAGACCCTACTTCGGCTCCGAGCTGGGAGGCCCCACCACGACCTGCCTGTCATCCTTGTTGGAAACAAGAGCGACCTGGCCCGCTCCCGGGAGGTCTCACTGGAGGGTGGGTATCCTTCCTGAACCTCATCCATGCTTGCAATCTCGGAGGACCCTCTCCCTTCCAGATCACCTTTTCTCCATAAGGCCCTCACGGGTGCACAAACTCAACTGCATTTAGCCCCAGGCTAAGGGTAGACTCTCAATGCCCACACCTGGGGCCCTGAGAATCCCTTCTCTTCACTCGCCCTCACCTCTTCTCCAAGGCCCCTTCTCCCTCCCCTCCGCACCACCACCGCCCTGCACTTGATCCCAGCCTTGTTCTCTCTCTTGCCCCATCCCTTTTCACTGCACACCCAGGACCTCCCCAGACCCACTCTCGCCCCGCCCCGGGCTCAGTGCAGCCCAGCGGGCGTCTGAACTGGCCCCTTCCTGCAGAGAGCCGCCACCTGGCAGGGACACTGAGCTGCAAGCACATCGAGACGTCGGCCGCTCTGCACCACAACACGCGGGAGCTCTTCGAGGGCGCGGTGCGCCAGATCCGGCTGCGGCAGGGCCGGAGCCGTGCCGGGGGCCAGCGGCCCGAGTGGGGCAGCCCCGAGGGCCCCGCGCCGCCCGCGCGCCGCGAGAGCCTCACCAAGAAGGCCAAGCGCTTCCTTGCCAACCTGGTGCCGCGCAACGCCAAGTTCTTCAAACAGCGCTCCAGGTCGTGTCACGACCTCACCGTGCTTTGAGCCGCGGTCGCCATGGTCACGCGGTCGCCATGGTCACCGCGCCCTCCGCTCGCCCCCTCGCCCCTCCCCGCTCCGCCCCGGTCCGGCTTCCTTTGTGACGACCGTCTAGGAAACCAAAAACTCCCAGGACGCCCTGGTGTGGCCGCGGGGGGCGGGCCCAGACCCCTGCGGGGAAGGGGCCGGGGGGGTCTTCCCCCCTCGGCCCCGCCCCGCCCTCGGGCGTCCTGTGGATACCTCCTTTCCGCAGAGCGCCTGGAAGGCCACGACGCAGCCCTGCGGTGGGGGCTCGCTGCGGCCGGTGGGCGGGGCGGGTTTCGGCTGGCAGGAAGGAAAATAGTTCTGCAAGGTATTTTGTTTTTTATTAATTCGCGCTTGACCACCTCTCCTGTAAAGAGATCCTAACAGCGAGAACTGGCAAAGTGCTTTGTAGACTCCTTTACAGTTTTCCACCTTTGTACTCTGAGCGCACATGCCTCACCTTTAAGAGAGTCTTAAAGGTAAAGACACGGAGACGCTTCTTGGAGACTTTTCATAAAACGTTCGAGCTCTTATCTGCTGCACTTGTCCACTTTGCCTTTAAGCAGTTCTTAAAGGCAAGGACCTCGAAGCGCCATTTTCCAGAATTAAGTCTGTGATTTACAATTACACCACGGCACTTCCCCTTTAAGGTTATTAAAGGTAAGGTGTGGACAGACGTTTGCCTTCAGATGACAGCGCGAAGAGCTGAGCCGGTGGCAAACCTCTTTCGGCCAGGGCCCAGGAGGCACCAGCAAGGGGGCCGTCCTTCCCTTTTCAATAAAGAATTTTTCTACTGCACTTGCTCACTTTGACTCTCTGTTCTCAAAGCCCCCACGGAAAAGATGGATGTAGATGGAAACTGTTGCAGACAAGAAAACTCAGGCCCAGAGGAACAAGGAACCTAAATCTCTAGAGAGGCTCCAGAACTGACTTAGTCCTGGTGTGGTCCATGACAAGGGGCCACAGGCCCTTAGAGATAATTGGGTCCCCTTGCCAATGAGAAAACAGGCCTGGAGAGGAGCGGGGACCTGCTAGAAGTAATTTAGTAACTTAGTGACACAGTGGGATCAAGTATCCACACTCTAGGCCCCATCTCCTTACCTCACCTTATCTTGCAAGGAGCAGGCTGGAGGCTACATTTAGTGCCCAGAGCTGCACTCAGCTGTGACCTAGGCTGGTTCAAGGTGAGGCCCACATCCACCAGGGAGGCCCGTCAGCTGGGGCAGGATGGGATTGGCCTGCATCTCCCCTGGCAGGGCCCCATCACCCCAGCTGTCACCTGCAAAGCTGGTGTGAGAACTGAAGCTGTCAGTGCCTCCCCTGGGGACGCCCACGCCTGCTGCTGCCTGAGCCAGGAGTTTGAACAAAGGGAGCAGAGGCAGCACCTCCACTCACCCCTAGACATACAATACAGCTACCTGAGGGCCAGGCCTCCACTCCACCCCACCCAGTGCCCCAGAGCTTGATGAAAAGAGGCATGAGATGTCTCCTGAGTCCTTGCAGCTGGGGAGGAGCCAAAAGGGACTTGCGCAGCATGGGTAGTTACAAGATGTTAATATGAATAATGACACTATCCTTAGGAGTTTATTCACTTTATCTGTTAATTCTTTAATGACAATATAACGTTTTACTACCTCTTTTACTGTTGAAGAAACAGAGAGTTTAAGTAATTTGCCTGAGGTCAATAAGCAACAGAGCTGGGATTCTATTCATGTCTGCCTGATACTTAATGGTGACTTTATCCAGCTTTGGATCTGAGGTTCTCCTTCCAGTAAGGATGGGGGGAACATGAAGAGGGACAGTAGAAGAAATGCAGGGGACATCATGGGTCATGGGCAGGGGCTGTGGTGAAAGGGCCAGAGAAATTATATGGCAATAGTGGAGTAAGCCAGCTCTGAACCCTGGGGACATGAAAAGAGGCAGTTTAAATTTTAAAATGCAGGAAAACACACTGGTCCCATTAAGGGACCAGATGGTTCTACAGTTGGGATGAAGCCTCAGGGACATGAAGAGGAGGGGTAAGAGGCAAGCACCGAAAAGAAGATTTGGAGCCCTACTGCAAAGGACCAGGCAAAGCAGTTTGTGCCCAACTCTGTAGGCAGTGAGAGTCACTGAAGGTCGTTGAGTGTGGAAGTGACATGATCAGGATGGTCCTTTGGGAAGAGGAGGCCAGGAGAGGTGTGCACGGATCAGAGCAGCAGAGACAAGCCCTGCAGAGGTGAGCTTAGGGACCAGCCTGAGAGAAATGGCAGTGAGGAAGGAGAGACAACATGTGTTTGAGAGTCAGAATTGATGGGACTTGGCAACTGAGTGGCTGGGTATAAAGAAAGGGAGGAGTCGCAGGGGGTGGGAGGATGGTGAGGAACTAGGAGTTAGGGGGCAGAGGAGGTAGGGCGTAAATGGCTCCATTTTAGAGACTCTGAGATGCTAGAAGAACATCCATATGGAGAGTTTCAGCAGCTCCCTGGACAGCTGGGTCTGAAATTCAGAACAAGTTGGGGCAAGAGATAGCTATGAGAATAATCACCATAAAGGTGGTAGTAGAAGAGCCAGAGAAAAGGATGAGATGCAGGGATGGCTTCATGGGTGCAGTCACACAAGGCCCCATGCTTAGTTTAATTCTCTGCTGTCACTGTCTTGAAATTCTTTGAAAAAGGAGCCGGGCATTTTCATTTTGCACAAGGACCCACAAATTATGTGAAGGGAGATATGAAGGGAGATATGAAGGGAGAAGGTGCAACACAGGCTGGGATCCTTAACCTCCAATCACACATGGGCTTTAGGGGTCTGTGATTCCTGTGAAATGGTACATCTGATATGTTTGTACAGTCATGCATTTGTCTGAGAATAGGGTTCATGGATTTTATCAGATTTCCAAAGAGATCTGTGACCCAATAAATTACAAACCAGGATGGTACTGATTGGTGCTGGGAAGGAGAGCTGGGTGGGTGCAGGACGGGTGTGGGAAGTTTACTTTTCATTGTATTCACTTTTTCTACCTCTTGAATTTTTTTATTTTTATTTTTTTGCTGAGGAAGGTTCACTGAGCTAACATCTGTTGCCAATCTTTCTCTTTTTGCTTGAGGAAGATTCACCTTGAGCTAACATCTGTGCCAATCTTCCTCTGTTTTGGACGTGGGTCACTGCCACAGCATGGCTGACGAGTGGTGTAGGTCTGCATCTGGGATCCGAACCCGCAAACCCAGGCCACTGAAGTGGAGCGTGTGAACTCAACCACTAGGCCATGGGGCCAGCCCCCAACTACCTCTTGAATTTTTAACTATGCCATATCTTACCTGTTCAAAAACTAAATAAAATAATTTAAAACGAAACAAAGCCTTGGAGTTCCAGAGAAAGAAGAGGGACCAAACAGAGAGTCCTGGGGATAGGCAGATGAAGAAGGCGGAGAGGCAGCCACCACAGACGCAGTGGAAGAACTAGGATTACGTATGTAGTGGCTACTGCCATGGGAGGAGGTTTTTCTAGAGAAAGAATACTACCAACGGTCAAATATGTCAAGGGGGGAGGATGAGGAACAAGAAGGCCGAGTGCCTTTCATGTGGCAGAAGCTTAAAAAGTGCATATTGAAGATGATGATGGCAGGATCTCCCCATGAGGGGAGCCACACACACCACAAGCCTCCCTCCCCCCAACTCAGCCAGTCCCATCAGCCAACCCATCTGTGTGTTCCCTCCAGACGCCTACAGGGAAGAGCTCAGAACAGACGGAAGCTGAAGCCATGCTCCTGCCAGACTTGGGAGAGGTGAGGTCTCCTCTGAGAGCCAGGCCATTCCTCTCCTCTCGCTCCCTCTGATCAAGGCCAAGTAGGGCCAGGCTGCTTGATCTGGGCTCTTGTGAGATCAGTACAGGGCTGGGGTCTGAGCTGCCTGTGCCAGGTGAAGTCCTCTCTGCCCTCTTGCTCCTCTTAAACACTGCAATTTTGTCTAAGGGTCTGTGCTCTCTTACTAGCGCAGCCCCTGCCCACACCCCTACCTCCACTCCCCCTGGCCCATAAGGCCTCCTCACTGGCCGAGAGCATAGACTATGTGTGCTTTCCCCTGCAGGGCCAGAGGTGAGGCCAGTCCTGTGTCTTGGAAGGTCTCCCTCTTCTCTGGGCCTCTGCTTATGGTTGGGCCATTAGGCCCTGCTGCATCTAACCCTTTCTAGAGAGAGAGGATCAGGGGCTCTCCTCTTCTGAAAGGCTGCTGGAGCCATGGAAGGACAGTTCACAAGTCTTCTGGGTTAAACCTTCACTCTCAGAAAGTCCACCCATACGTACATCTTTTTATTAATCTAACATAATTCCAATCCACATCAGTCAAAGTAAATTTTTCCTGGACATTTTTATCTTTCATCCAAACACTGGTTGTTCCTCCAGGTACTGCCACATGCATCACTGTGATAAGCCCTATGGGGAAAGCAAATACAGAGAAGACGCTATCCCTGCCCTCAGGGAGCTTACAATAGATCTGAAGAGACAGGACAAGGTGGTGACAGCACTCTCATGGCCGAAACAGCAGCAAACTACACCATAATCTGACTATCTAGCACCATCATGTGCTCTAAGAATCTCGAAGAATGGAAGAAACAAAATTTAGAAGACTTATATTTGAGCCTGGCCCCATGGCATAGTGGTTAAGTATGGCGCACTCCACTTCAGTGGCCTGGGTTCGTGGGTTCAGATCCCAGTCTCGTACATACACTACTCATCAAGCCATGTTGTGGCGGTGACCCACATACAAAAGACAGAGGAAGATTGGCACAGATGTTAGCTCAGGGCTAATCTTCCTCAAGCAAAAAAAGAGGAAGATTGACAACAGATATTAGCCCAAAGCGACTCTTCCTCACCAAAAAAACAAAAACAAAAACAAACAAAAAAGACAACTTATAGGGGCCAACCTGGTGGCATAGTGGTAAAGTACATGTGCTCCGCTTCGGTGGCCTGGGGTTCACAGCTTCGAATTCATGGCATGGACCTATGCACCACTTAACAAGCCATGCTATGTATGGTAGGCATCCTACATATAAATTAGAGGAAGATGGGCACAGATGTTAGCCCAGGGCCAAATCTTCCTCAGCAAAAAGAGGAGGATTGGCAGCAGATGTTAGCTCAGGGCTAATCTTCCTCACCAAAAAAAAAGACGACTTATAGTTTAGGAACTGGGCTTTGAAGGATATATGTAGGCTGTAGATAGATGGGGGAAAGAAGGGAAAAAATTCCTTGAGATGAAACATGAGCAAATGCACAGGAGAAATGGTGGGCAGCCCACCACATGATGAGGTAAAGACCCTCTCTATATAGAAGGCAGCAAAATTTGGCTGGATGGTGCAGCCAAGTTATCAAGTGGCCCAAAAACCAGACAAGAGCATCCTGCTTTTTAATCTTTTATCATTTGGTGGCTCTCTGACAGATAAGCTCAAGGTACCTTTTCATCTATTTGAATCTTGATGTCATGCCTCCACAGCTTGGTGGCCTTGTATACTCAAGATGTGAAGGCAAATTCAGTGGGGTCTTGCAAGTGTTTTAGTTAGCACTCAGGCCCACTATTTCTTGAAAGGAGGTCTATGGACAAAGTCATTCAACCTCTCTCTCTGAATCTCAGCTTTCCCAACTATAAAATGAAGATAATATGGGCCGGCCCGGTGGCTTAGCGGTTAAGTGCGCGCGCTCCACTCCTGGCGGCCAGGGTTCGGATCCCGGGCGTGCACTGACGCACCGCTTGTCCGG